AGTAATTTTAAAAACTCCCAGCAAACAAAAGTCCTGGACCAGATGGCTTCACAGGTGAATTTTACCAAATATTCAAAAAATAATTAAAACCTATTCCAAAAACTTCAAGAGGAAGGAATACTCTGGAGTTCATTTAATGGGGCCAGCATTATCTTAATTCCAAAACCAGATAATGACACTACAAAGAAAGAAAATTATAGGCCAATATCACTGATGAACATAGATGTAAAAATCCTCAAAAAAAAATATTAGCAAACCAAATTCAGCAATACATTAAAAAGATCGTACACCATGATCAAGTGGGATTTGCTCCTGGAATGCAAGATGGGTACAATATCCACAAATCAATTAATGTGACACACCACATAAACAAAATGAAGGATAAAAATCATATAATCATATCAATAGACGCAAAAACCATTTGATAAAATCTAGCACCTATTTATGGAAAAAACTCTCAGAAAAGTGGGAATACAGGAAACATACCTCGATATAATAATGGCCACACATGATAAAACCACAGCTAACATCACACTCAACAGGGAAAATCTAAAAGTGTTTCTCTTAGAGGGAAAAGATCTGTACTCAAAAAATTACAAAACACGGAAGAAAGAAATTGAAGAAGATACAAATAAATGGAAGCATATACCGTGCTCATTAAATAGAAGAATTAACATCATTAAAATGTCCATATCACCCAAAGCAATCTATAGATTCAACACAATTCCTATCAGACTACTAATGGTGTATTTCACAGAACTAGAACAAGTAATCCAAAAATGTATGTGGACTCCAAAGAGCCACAGCAATATTGAGAAAGAAAAACAAAGTTGGAAATGGCTGGTGTGTCTCAGTTAGTTGAGCCAAAAGGTTGCCAGTTTGATTGCCAGTCAGAGCATGTGGCCAGGTTGCGAGATCAATCCCCAATGGGGACATTCAGGAGGAAGCCGGCTGATGTTTCTCCCTCACACCAATGTTTTCCTCTCTCTCTCTTTCTCTCTCTCTAAAATCATTAAAAATAAATAAATAAAAGAAAAACAAAGTTGGAGGGATTACATTACCAGATACCAAACTATACTACAAGGCCACTGTAATAAAAACAGCATGAAACCGGCATAAAAACAGACATATAGATCAATGAAATAGGATAGAGAGCCCAGAAATAATCCCACACCTATATAGTCAGTTGATATTTGACAAAGGAGGCAAGAACATACAATGAAGTAAAGACAGTCTATTCAATAAATAGTGTTGGGAAAATTGGACAGATATGTGCAAAAAGTGAAAGTAGACCACAGTCTTTCACCATATAAAAGAATAAACTCAAAATGGATTAAACACTTAAATGTAAGACTCAATACCATAAAAATTCTAGAAAAAAAGTAGGCTGTAAAATCATGGACATTTCTCTTAATAATATTTTTTCTGATATATCTGCTAGAGAAACGGAAACAAAAGAAAAAATAAATAAATGGGACTACATCATTTTTTGCACAGCAAAGGAAACCATAAACAAAAGGAAAGGAAAATCTGATACCGAGTTACCTGAATGAATATTCAAATAAAAGGAGTTAAAATCAAAACTTTATAAAGAACTCATATAACTCAACACTAAATATACAAACAATCTAATTTAAAAATGGGCAGAGGTCCAGCTAGAGTGACTCAGCAGGTTGAGCATTGTCCTGTGCACTAAAAGGTTGCTAGTTCGATTGCCTGTCAGGGGACATACCTGGTTTGAGGGTTTGATACCCAGTCAATCAATTGATGTTTCTCCCTCACTTCTATGTTTTGCTCACTTTCTCTCTCTCTCTCTCTCCCTCCCTCTCTCTAAGCATGTCCTCAGGTGAGAATAAAAAAAAAAAAAAAAAAAAAAA